ACATATTTCAAAACAAAAGATGAGAGGTTTACAAGGCATATTGACTTTATGATGACTTTCATTCAATAGGTACACTGGGTTTAGATATATGCCTTTTGTGCAGCCAAGTTAACCCAGGGTCTAATTCAAAGAGATGTACTGAGGAAGATGTGCTGCCAGGGGAGAGAGCTGCAATATCCCACTGCTCTTGTAACATCATAAAGAGAAGGAAAAGAAGCAGCGCCATGGCTCAATAGGCTAATCCTCTGCCTAGTGGCTCCAGCACACCGGGTTCTAGTCCTGGTCGGGGTGCCGGATTCTGTCCCAGTTGCCCCTCTTCCAGGCCAGCCCTCTGCTATGGTCCGGGAGTGCAGTGGAGGATGGCCCAGGTGCTTGGGCCCTGCACCCCATGGGAGACCAGGAGAAGCACTGCCTCCTGCCTTTGGATCAGCATGGTGTGCCGGCCATGGTGGCCACTGGAGGGTGAAGCAACGGCAAAGGAAGACCTTTCTCTCTGTCTCTTTCTCACTGTCCACTCTGCCTGTTTAAAAAAAAAAAAAAGAGAGAGAGAGAGAGAGAAGGAAAAGGGCTACTTATGTCCATGGTTATAAGGAGGACAGAAGCACAAACATTTCAGAAAGGGGGAGCAAATTACAAATATAGTAATTTTAGGAAAATAAAAGGAAGTAAATTTCAGAATATAATGTGGGGTAGAAACACACCATCAGCTCATCAATTTTCAAGGGATCCAGGAAAACTGCCCTGCCTACCCACAGACCAAATGTTTCAAAACACATTTTTTGATTAAATTCAGAAGATTATAGGACTCAGCACTCTGGGTGTTCAAATGCCAAATTAAGTTTTAGTTTCCACTATGGGCAGATGTAGCCAATCACTCAGATCATGAGAAAAACTTTTCCATAAGAAGGAACATGAAATATTCAGTCACACAGAATAACTGTGCTTAGTGCTCAAAGTGAACCCCAAGATAAGCACCCAGAAAACCTGTTAGGTCTTGGGGCCAGCACAGTGGTGTAGCATGTAAATATTTATTTATTTATTTAAAAGGCAGAGTTACAGAGAGGCAGAGGCACAGAGAGAGGTCTTTCATGCACTGATTCACTCCCCAAATGGCTGCAATGGCCAGAGCTGGATCTGTCTGAAGCCAGGAGCCAGAAGTTTCTGTCAGGTCTCCCAAGCTGTGCAGAACCCAAGAACTTGGGCCATCTTCCACTGCTTTCCCAGGCCATGCCAGGAAGCTGGATCTCAAACAAGCACCCATACGGGATGCCAGCACTGTAGGTGGCAGCCTCACCTGCCATGCCACAGTGCCAGTCCTCAAAATAAACCTATTTTAAAAAGCATTTTAAATGAGGGATGGGAGAGTTTGTTTATCCAAAGCAAGGATAGCATAAGATAACTACTACACAGAAGAAGCTCCTGGCTCCTGGCTTTGGATCGGCACAGCTCCGACCACTGTAGCCAATTGGGGAGTGAACCAGCATATGAAGACTTATCTCTCTCTGCCTCTCCTCTCTGTAACTCTGACTTTCAAGTAAAATAAATAAATCTTTAAAAAAAATAAGATAACTACTAGTACTCATTAACTTAAAAAATATAGAAATTTAATGAAATTCAAAATATAACCAAAATCATCATCTACTACACATTATAATCTTTATTTTGAGAGTCATATTAGAAAAAATTTAACCCCTCCCCCTCTTTGAAACATGCACATGGGACTGGTGTAGTAGGTTAAGCAGACCCTGGCAGTGCCAGCACCCCACATGGGCACTGGTTCAAGACCTGGCTGCTTCATTTCCAATATAGCTCCCTACTAATTCACCTGGGAAAGCAGAGGATAATGGCCCAAGTGTTTGGACCCCTGAAATCAAGTGTGAGAACCAGAAGAAGCTCCTAGCTTCTGGTTTTAGCCTGGCCCAGCCCAAGTCATTGTGGCCATTTGAGGAGTGAACCAATGGATGGAAGACCTCTCTGTGTCTCTCTGTAAATCTGCCTTTCAAGTAAATAAAATACATTAAAAAAAACCCTATACAATGTAGTATTTTGGTGATTCCCTCATACAAGGAAAGCTCAGATAAACTGTAGAGGAATCCTCCTGGCTTGATGCAATTCAGAAGGAGGATTGCCTTACTTAATGTATACTGAGCTGATCTTCTGTATATTAAGATAATCAAAAATGAATCTTGATGTGAATGGAAGGGGAGAGGGAGTGGGAAAGGGGAGGGTTGTGGGTGGGAGGGACGGTATGGGGGGAAGCCATTGTAATCCATAAATCGTACTTTGGAAATTTATATTCATTAAATAAAAGTTAAAAAAAAAAAAAAAAAAGAAGGAGGATTGCTTCTGTCACCCTGTGGTAGACATCAATGAGAGTTATTAATGGGAAGATGAATGGACACATCAGACTGCTTCCTCACATGGCACCTTTTCTTAAAGACATCACTGCTGCATTACCAGATTATGTCTCTCATGTGAAATATGTCTCTCCTAAAAATTTTAAAGAACTTGCCAGAACTTATTGCAGAGCAGGGAATGATGTGCCAAGGACAGTGAGTTAGCCTGAGTAGTCCAGCAATCCTGTTCTTGGCTGTTTTCAAGTTCGTATTAATGTACACACAACATAGTTGCTGAGAAAGTGTCTTACAGTTGTTTCCTGGGTGTGAAGCAGCTCTTCTCAGCAGAAACACATCACTGCTTGTCCACTCGCAAGCACTGTGATAGGGAGTACATGCGAGAAAAGGTCAAAACACACTGGGTTTGAGAGGAAGAATGCTGTCACCCTAGCAACCTCTATCCAGGATTCCCTTTCTATTCTTACTTCCTAGGTAACCTTACTATGCTAAATGAGTTTCACAGATTAGTAATCTGGTGACAACAAGACTCTAACAGAATCTATGAATCACTCAGTTAATCAAGTGAAAACTTCATTACACTGAAAGTTAGTCTGTAGCAATAGTTTTCAGGGACACATCTCTCTTTTTTTAAAAGATGTTTTATTTATTTATTTGAGAGGTAGAATTACAGATAGTGAGATGGATAGACAGACAGAAAGGTCTTCCTTCTGCTGGTTCACTCCCCAGTTGGTCAAAATGGCCAGAAGAGCTGCACTGTTCTAAAGCCAGGAGCCAGGAGCTTCTTCTGGGTCTCCCACATGGGTGCAGAGGCCCAAGCACTTGGGCCATCTCCTACTGCCTTCCCAGGCCATAGCAGAGAGCTGGATCAGAGGAGCAGCTGGGACTCGAACTGGTTCCCATATGGGATGCTGGCACCACAGGCAGAGGATTAACCTACTGAGCCACAGTGCCAGCCCAAAGCCACATCTTTTACCGTACTGTGTGGGCATCTCTGTGGGGGAGAGGGGCACATTTTCTCTTTTCTTCCTTACCCATCTTCACATTAACACCTTGTACAAAGGCGTCCACAAACCAGTCATTTTGAAAATCTATCACTAATATCCTCCCGTGTTGAAAATGTCATGGGGTTAAACACAGAACCCAGAATAAGAAAAGTAACTTGAAGCTGGTGTTGTGGCTGAGCGGGTAAAACCATATGGGTGCTGGTTCAAGACCTGGCTGCTCCACTTCTGATCCAGCTCTCTGCTATGGCCTGGGAAAGCAGTGGAAGATGGCCCATGTGCTAAGTCCCCTGTACCTGTGTGAGAGACCTGGAAGAAGGTTCTGGCTTCTAGCTTCAGATCCATGCAGTTCTGGCCATTGTGACCATCTGGGGAGTAAACCAGCAGATGGGAGCTCACTCTCTCTCTCTCTTTCTCTGTGTGTGTGTGTGTTTCTTTGCCTCTCTGTAACTCTGCCTTTAAAATAAATAAATAATTTTTTTTTAAAGTAACTGGCCAGCGCCGTGGCTCACTTGGTTAATCCTCTGCCTGCAGTGCTGGCATCCCATATGCACACTGGATTCTGTCCCATTTGCTCCTCTTCCAGTCCAGTTCTCTACTGTGGCCCAAGTGCTTCAGCCCCTGCACCTACGTGGGAGACCAGGAGGAAGCACCTGGCTCCTGGCTTCGGATCAGCACAGTGCGCCAGCCATAGTGGCCATTTGGGGGGTGACTATCGGAAGGAATACCTTCCTCTCTAATTCTGCGTGTCAAATTAAAAAAAAAAGTAACTGGCCCCCTTAATTAAAACCATATGGACTGTAAGATAATCAGCTTGGTGAAGCATTGAGTGACTGTAAAGAACTAGAGAAGAAAAATTGATACTTTTCTGTATTTATGTTTTCGTAGCTCTCCACTATGAAAATGCAGATTGAAGTAGCTCATTATTAACTCACACGGTAGACTTGCATTAATTTCAGTTCACTTCTCACTTTGCAAAGGGATTAGCAGCAGGTAATAAAAGTTGACATCCCTAATAACATGAGAAGAAAGAAGGGTTGAAGACAGAAATCGAAACACAGGAAAATAAATCAGCTACATTTCCATGGCCTCAAGCTCCAGATTGAAAGAGAGTCTGTTAATTAAACACGGAGGAGCGATCAATCCACAAAGCTACTGCACAAGCTTCACGTGCTGCTGGGAAAGTCAGCCAAACACACAGCGCCCCAGCTGAAAATGTGCCCGCGGGGTCCAGCATGGGGGCCAGGAGCCAGAACCTACTCTGATCTTCCATCTCCACCTCTCCACTGCCTCAGGCTCTGGCTCAGGGCCGCCGAGCCCGGCCCAGCTGGAACTACCAGGGGATATAGCCGGAGGCCAGCCACAAGGCATTCTCTGACCCACCCAAGTGAGAACTGGGCTTATTTAAATCTAGGGAATGGGACTCCTTCCTTCAGCGTGCTCTCAACTGCCCTGCTGGTGCCGTTCCTCATCCAGTGTACTTTAAGGAGAATTTGAGCGAGGCAGCCCGTGGGACTGGCCGAGCATCGGGAGACTGGGAAGTGGCGGTGGGAGAAGCAAGTGATCGAGGTCTGGGAGCCGCCACCCGCCATCGCACCCTCCCCTCTCCCACACACATCTGTGCCCCTCCTGTTCTCCATACTTGCTGTGGAAACTCTCGGGAGCACATCCCCTTCCTTCAGGACACACGGGGAGCAAAGCGGAGAGTGTGGGACAGGAGAAGTCGCTGGAACTTGGGGCCCACGGTGGCAGATGCAGAGGCACAGAAGCAGCGGGCGGCAGGTCTGGGGTGTGTGCTCCCGAACCGCCTGCAATTGCACTTGCAAAGCAAGTCTCCCCAGTGAATGTGGGAGAAGGAGCAGCGCGGCCTCTCAGGGCCCTCTCTGATCAGTAAATGAACTTCTGTTCCCAGCCCCGAGCCACAGGGAAAGGCACGCATGCGCACGTTCTCCCACATGCACACGCACAGGCGTTCAGAGCAGGAAACGTTAGAGCACCGGGTGACTCTGGGAAATGGAGTCCAGGCCAGGGCATTTCCTAGATAGACTTACTGGCCCTCTCCTAGGGCTTCAGTGTGGGGTGGGTGGAGACAGGCTGGGAACCAGAGAGCGTTTGCTTTTGTTTACAGCCCTCCTTCCCTTCCTTCCCACCCCAGATCTTAAGGGTCAGCTGCTGTTCTTCCTTTCTTGAACAAAATCTTAAGAAGTGACAGCCACTGCTGCTGAGCCCAAATCCCGGTTCCCTCACACACGCTGTTTCCCTCAGGAAAATCCCCTGCTGCTTTATTCCTGGACAGCTTCTCTCAAGTAACGAATGACAAGGATTTCAATGTAACTCTCAGCACAGGTGTACACGGCACAGTTTAACATCTAGATTTGAGAATACGATTTTTACTTGTGTCTTTTATTTGTGGTTCTTTTCAAAGCATTTTACACCACCCTCTAATTCACCAAGTACAAAAAAAAAAAGAAAGAAAAAAGAACTGGATTCAGGGCTAACATTGTCAAGTATCTTCTAGGGGCCAGATTAACAGAGTAAATGCCTTACTTTGTATCAATTATACCTTAGGTTAATTCTGGAGACCATATTCTCAATTTACAAAGAGAAAGCTGAGGTGGAAAGAGATTAGAATTGAATTTGCCCATGGAAGTATGGTAAAAAAGTCTAGGTTAAAGACCAACCAACATGAAATATTGGTTTAAGAAGTCTTTCGGGACCAGCACTGTGGCATAGTGGGCTAAGCCTCTGCCTTCAGCACCGACATTCTATATGGGGGCTAGTTCAAGTCCCTGCTGCTCCGCTTCCAATACAGCTTTCTGCTGTAGCCTGGGAAAGCAGCAGAAGATGGCCCGAATGCCTGGGACCCCGCATCCACATCAGAGACCCAGAATTTCCTGGCTCCTGGCTTTGGATCAGCTTAACTATGGCTATTGCAGCCATTTGGGGAGTGAACCAGTGCATGGAAGACTTCTCTCTCTCTCGCTCTCTCTCTCTCTCTCTGCCTCTGCCTCTCTGTAACTCTGCCTTTCAAATAAAAAAAAATCTTCTTTTAAAACAAGAAATATTTCTTTTATCTTGGAGCTCAGTTTCTAAAACCCCAGATTTCTCATTTCTAAAATAAAAAGTGAGGGAGAGGAAGAGTATCTACAATCCTAATCTTCACTGTAGAGAAACACATAGGATTATAACTTATCTAAAAAAGAAAGGAGGTTCAAAATTGCTATTGCTGTATGGTTATTTTTCTCATGCTTAATATCAAGATAGCATATAAATATTATGCATTCTTAGGTATATTTGTGGTGTTTGAATTTTAAGATTTTAAGTAGAAATGTAAATGGAAGCAGGATGACATGGAGTTCTGTTTGTGATTACTTCTGTCAATTATAATTCATGGGATTAGAATTGCTGGATTAGGAATGCTTAAATGTATCCATTCATTTCACACTAATGTTTATTATGTCAGGTGATATTCTTTGTGTAGACTGCTTTTTCTTGCAGATTGAAAATTCAGGAGGGCAAGAAACATGTTTGCTTTGACATTGAAACTCAGCATCTTGATAGAGTCATTCTTTTAGTTGAATGAATAAATGAGGCTATAAAAATTAAAAAAATACAATTTCTGATCCCCAATAACTACCTAGTTGAAGAGATAATGAAATAGATATCTATTTGATAACACACACAATTAGATGAATGTATAATTTGTTGCTCAGAGACAACTTTGATAATAAAAGAGACATATTCATAATGACACAGGGTTGAAATGTATAAACAGAAACCATCGAGGACCAAGCAGGTTAAATGTTCACCCTAGCTTTGTAAGGCATTCCATTCATTATTTAGTAAGCATTTACTGAGCATTCTTTTGTGTGGTGTGTTGAAAGAACTACCAGCCACATGATTTTCCTAGTTATTGGAGTAAGAGAACCTGAGCAATCAGAAAAATGTTTGGATGAACTAAGAGGCTTTACACAAAGGTAAGAAAAACAAAAAGCAAAGAGGTCAATTAAAAAGTATATCAAAGGTAATTTAGTAGGACCTGAACCAAGGTATGGTGGTAGTGGAATGAAGAAGAGGCAACAGATTACAGGGAGATCCAAAAGGCAGAAACAACAGGATTCAATGGTAGATGAAGGCAGGAGGGAACTCGTGTGTAAATCTTCATTTGGATTTTATTATTTAATGGATAAGGAGTTCTCAGTACATTCATGTTCATCAGTAATTAAAGGCTACCTCCAACTGACATAAACTTCCCCTAAATCCAAGACACAATCTCATGGGTAGCTACTATCTATAAGCCTTATGTTGATCATCAAGCCAAATATTTTTCACTGCTACAATCTACAATGGTCCTCATTATGATGCAGCTACTTAGAAACTAAAAGACATAATCCATTTCTATAAGAAAGGTCTAAATAAAAAAGTAAAATTCAGGGGCTGACGCTGTGGTGCAGCAGGTTAACACCCAGGCCTGAAGTACCGGCATCCCATATGGGCCCCTGTTCAAGACCTGGCTGCTCCACTTTCAATCCAGCTCTCTGCTATGGCCTGGGAAAGCAGTAGAGGATACTTGGTCCCTGCACCCCATGGGAGACCTGGAGGAAGCTCCTGGCTGCTGGCTTTGAATCAGCACACTTCTGGCCATTGTGGCCAATTGGAGAGTGAACCATCAGATAAAAGACCTCTCTCTCTCTCTCTCTCTCTCTCTCTCTCTGCCTCCCCTCTCTCTGTGTAACTCTGATTTTGAAATAAATAAGCTAATAAATATTTTTAAAAAGGAGTAGTAATGCTCAATATTTATAAAAAGGCCAGCACCGTGGCTCAATAGGCTAATCCTCCAACTTGTGGCGCCGGCACATCGGATTCTAGTCCCGGTCACGGCGCCAGATTCTGTCCTGGTTGCCCCTCTTCCAGGCCAGCTCTCTGCTGTGGCCTGGGAGTGCAGTGGAGGATGGCCCAAGTGCTTGGGCCCTGCAACCCATGGGAGACCATGAGAAGCACCTGGCTCCTGCCTTCGGATCAGTGCGTTGCGCCGGCCGAAGCACGCTGGCCTCCGCGGCCATGGGAGGGTTTAACCAATGGTAAAAGGAAGACCTTTCTCTCTATCTCTCTCTCTCACTGTCCACTCTGCCTGTCAAAAAAAAAATTTATAAAAAAAAGTTAAGTTAAAAAACCCACAAAATCATATATTTCAAAGCTAAATTTGGAATACCTCACTAATTCACAATTTATAGATTCATCAACCTTAGGTAACTAAAGCACAATTAAGCAGGAAGAAGTAAAAAAAATTCCTTGGGGAGGGGCCAGCACTATGGCATTGTGGGTAAAGCTGCCACCTGCAGTGGTGGCATCCCATATGGGCATCGGTTCAAGGTCCTGCTGCTCCACTTCTGATCCAGCTCTCTGCTATGGCCTGGGAAAGCAGTAGAAGATGACCCAAAGGCCTTGGGCCCCTGCACCCATGTGGGAAACCTGGAAGAGGCTCCTGGCTCCTGGCTTCAGATTGACACAGCTCCGACCATAGCAGCCAATTGGGGAATGAACCAACGGATGGAGGACCTTTCCCCTCTCTTCCTCTTCTTCTCTCTCTGTGTAACTATTTCAATAAATAATAATCTTTAAAAAAAACAATTTCCTGGAATAGCCAAAATGCACATTGTAAAGTCCAAGTAAGGTGTCCTAGCCACGGCTCTCCATATCATGACTCATAAAACGCACTGTCCTGGCTATTCTGATATGAGTGGATGGACACAAAGCAAAAAGAAGCAATAGGTTTGAGCATGAATAAATGGAAAGGGCTCCACAACAATGCTGCAGAGCTCTGTGGCCCCTAACTGAATGGGGATATGCAGGCAGGCATCTCCTTAATTTCTGCCATGTCTCAGTTGTCATAGGACCATAGAACTGAGCACAAGAATCGAGCTTTCAAGGCCAACATCCACAATTCACTTAGTGATAGTGGAGCTCTGTAGCTTCGCTTCATGAGTACAACTAAACCTCCACACTTGATATGTCATCCTGTTAGGATCCACTGGAACTGGAGAGTGTATGGGGTCAGAGGGAGTAGAGGAGCATGGTGTGGGTCTCATGGTGGTGGTAGCTGTGCAGAGGGAGGGGTGGAGGAGGAGAAAGCAAGAGCCCCTAGCACTGTGGGAACGAGGAGCAGAGGAGGAAGGGAGACAGGGGTGACTTGTCTGCATTATGCCTGGTACTCTCCTGGGTATGATTGATGCAATACGAATAATGTGAATATCATGATTACCCTAAAGTGATTTCAGTCCTGGTGGACAAATGACAATAGATAATTAAAAACAATGTGACAAAAGTTGTGGGTGCAGAATACAATCACCTACATCATTTGTGGATGCCATGCCCATCAGGCAGGAACCACCAGGTTAAGGTCAGATCTCAGGGCTGGCATTGTGGTGTAGAGGGTAAAGCTACCCCCAACAGTGCCAGCATCCCATATGGGCACTGGTTCAATTCCCAGCTGCTCCACTTCTGATCCAGAACTCTGCGGTGGACTGGGAAAGCAGATGGCACAAGCCCTTGGGCCCCTGCACCCTCATGGGAAGACCTGGAGGAATCTCCTGGCTCCTGGGTTCTGAGCAGTGCAGCTCCAGCTATTGCAGCCACCAACTGTGAAGTGAACCAGTGTATGGAAGACCTCTTCTCTCTCTGCCTCTCCTTCTATCTCTGTGTAACTCTGACTTTCAAATAAATAAATAAATCTTTTTTTAAAAAAGAGTCAGATCTCAGAGGTAGCAGAGCCCAGAAATGACACCATTGTATGAAATGAAAATAGGCAGATGGTAGGTAGAAGCTTGGTAACTAAAGCTGGGATCAGCACATGGATCTTGACTGGCAGGCTGTCAAACCAATCATCAACTTGGACTAGGCTGGGATCTCCCAACTTCTATCCTAGTGCCCAT